CTGCCTCTAGCTGGGTGTGTGAAACTAGAGTGACTCACTCCCTGCTCTGGAGGGCAAGAGAAGCAGCAAAGGACATTTGTGATGAAATGCTGATCAGCAGAAGGGAGTGCACTGAGGCTGGGAGAGTCAGGGGTGGGCCTTGGAGGGGCCCTCCTTGGAGAAAAGAGAACATTCCAGACCTGGGACAAATGAGGTAATAGTGGAGGTAGGACAGCCTAAGTGTGCCATATTCGTGGTGTCCCGGGCGCTGTCCCAGACCCAGCAGAGGGTGTGTGGTGGGGGAAGAGAGTAAGGTTGGAGAAGCTGGCAAGTCCAAGGACAGAGCACCCTGAGGGACGGGTTGCGGGTCTAGATTCGAGTGGCAGAATGCCGGGGCTGTTGGAGAACTCCAGGGGGAGTGGGCTACAGATGTCTGTAAGGTTCGTGGGGTCAACTGGAGGCTTGGAGGCTGTGGCCAAAACATGCTGCAGTGGATTGGATCTGATGGCGATCACTTTTCTTGTGAAATTCTGCTCTTGGCTCTAGTGACACTGTCATGTCCCATCCCTCTTTTCCAGCCCATATGTCCTAGAAGTACTTCCTGTCCCTTCCCTATCCAACTGAATGTACTTATCAAAGGCAAGAATATATTTTCAAAGGCAAAGAACATCTGGTTATTGGTCTGCTTTGTATTCTCAACATCTAGCACAGGCCTCTGTGTCACTGAAATAAAAATTACCCAAATGTATTATGCTACATAGATGCAAAACAGTGGTTTTCCATCTGCTACTCTTTCTCCAGGAGAGGCAGGCTGGAGAAAATGAACGCAGTGGCCCGTTTTAGGTCCCACACCAGTGGCTGTTTCGCTGGGGCTATCGTAGCTGGTGTGTTTTATTCTTTGTGGTTGGAGGAGAGGGGAATCTAAGGTGACATATGAGCGAGAGCTGTTGAGGCAGGAATGCAGCATCAGCTGCCTGGTTACTTGTGCTGCCTCTGTCAGCAAAGCAGTCTGAGAAGGTGATTAAATATCAATGCAGGTACTGGAGATGGCTCTCCCTGCCTGCCCTCCCTGAAATGAACTTCCACTTCCTGGGAAGCCCTTTTGGGATGGGCGGGCCCTGGAGAAGAACCACTAGGAATCAAGTGATCCCAGCCCCAGCAGGCAGCCCACGTGGAACCCCACACCTGTACTGTGTGCTTGAGTGCCACCCAAAGAATGCTGAGTGGTGCCCCCTCTGCAGCCGCTTCTCCTCAGCAAGCCTCTTTTCCTGGAGAGGCCTCAGGTTCCCAGGGTGTGGCCTAGAGCAAAAACAACGGTGTCCTACCGCCCCTGGTGCCACTACTGCTCCTGTTCATCTGGGCACCCGGGGGACAGGTGAGACCTGTCCTGCAGCCCATCTTGCTGATGGAACACCTTTTGCCTTAAGGCAATAGAGCGCCCCCTTCTCTGCATCAAGGGCCCCCTCTGCGCCGGGAGGCTTCTGTCCTTGGCAAGATGCTGAGCTCTCAAGGGCGCACACTGTCTTCTGCAGCTTCTCCTCCTGCACCAGGGCCAGCCAGGGCCTGGCACGGAGAGCACTGTGGATGCAGAAAGCTGGCGCCAGGGCTGGAGCAGCACCCTCTTCAGGTGATGAGAGGGGCTGCTGGGGGAGGCTCCACTCAGGGCCCCTCCAGAGCGTGAGCCCCACGACCCCCATTAAGCTGCTCTCCTGTGTGTGTCGAGTGCTGGGCGGCCTCGTACACGCGGCTAGGTGGTTACTGCCCTGGCCTTTCTACTCCAGGCCTGAGAGAGGAGACCCTCCTCCATTCACACAGAAATGGGGGCTCCGAAGCAGGGGTGACGGATCCCCGCTGTCACCTAGACAGACTGAAAAGCCGGTTCCTTGCTCCCTGGCCTCTTCCGTGGCCACTCCCCACGCAAGTGACACGGGGGGTCATCAGGCCGCAGGCCCTCATTTCAGCCACAAGGAGGGCAGGCCCAGGCCGGCTGTGAGGCCTCCGGTTCCTGGAATCCCTCCTCCCTCAGAGAGGAAACTGAGACTCGGTTGCAAAACAAAAGACGACATAGTCCAGAGCACTTTTAAGGACGTGTATTTCGGTTTTTCCCAAGTGTCCTCGGGACAATTTGCCAAAATAACGCCCACCTGCAGCTAAGCAGCTTTCTGAGGAAACGTCCGTTTCCTCTCAGCCGGAAAGGCTTGTTGGCTTCCGGGGCTGTGGGGCTGAAGACCCTGAGAGCCGGGAGGGCCCGGGTGGGCCGGTGAGCAGGCCTGAGACAGGGTCGCTCTGCGGGGCCCTCTGGCTGTGGGGGCTGGGGACGGAGGGGGGCAGGCTCGCGGCGGAACGGGAGGGCGTCGAAGTCCACAGACACGGAGGAGGCAGGGCTCAGGGCGGCTGCAGGGGCGCGGCGGCGGCGCAGCCCACCCTGTTGCTGAAGAGGCGCGAGAGGCTGCGCTTGCGGGCGGCGGGGCGCGGCGGGGCG